TTTTCAAATTTCACATGTGAAATCCTTATAATGTCTAGGTAGTTATCAAATGTTTCTTAAAAAAAATCTTTATATTTTATCTGTTATTTTCAATAATGAATCTCTGTACGGGTTTGGTCGATTTGACCGATCTCATAACCACCATAAAAAATTAGAAAATAAATATAAATTTTGCCTTTTTTTAATTCTAGAATGACTACAAATTATAACACAAAAACATAAATGTTAGAGTAAATAGCTTAAAACATTTATATATATTTATTATTTTTATTATATTGTCCTTTTCGCCATGCCTGGCTACAAATACAGAAGTACAATGATGAGGTGCACGTGCACTCATGTTACCATATCCAATAATATAAAACAGACCTTTAGTCTTTACAAAGTGACCTGTCTTGACTGTGTTTTAGTGGACTATTTTTTTAAAAATACAGTTACATTTCAATTATTATACATTATATATGTATATAGATTATTACTATTTACAAACAAGTTCTTAAACTTATTTTTCTAAAACATAGAACAGTACATAAAGAAGTAAATCAAACGATTATCTCTTCTAGTTATGACCTTTGTACTCAGTTGCTGCTTGTTAAGCCTTATGAAATTTTGCACATGAAAGATGTGAAACAAAATAACTTGTTTTAGGTTTTATATATATACATTTGAATAACCCAAAAAATCAACATTCAACATATCATATGACACACAAAAATTGATGTTTAAGTGTTTTTAATATTTACTTTTAAATTAAAAATTAAACATGTATAATATGAAAATTTGAATTACTATCTACATTTTCATACTAAATTTAATGACATAAATTCATAAAATACTAGTTTAATAAAATTTTGAATGCGAGTCAATAAACGAAATGAAATGGACTTTGACTCTTGACCCATCTGGAAAAGGTTAATGCCTAAAACACACAAGGACTTTATGTGACAGAAAAAACAAACAAAAACTAATTATCTTATATTTTGTATTTCCAGAGGTATGTGATCATGCAACCACAACCAAATGAGGCTACATATATTTTATGTATATGTGTGTGTGTTTATATATACCTAAATGCTAATACTAAATAAAACACTAATTCTAATACACAAAAACTTGCTTGCTCAGGTGGGGCAGGAAGTTTTGGACTAAGTCCAATCTGACTTCTGCAAGCACGAATGACTGTTTTGTGGCGATGGAGATGAATTTCAGCCTCAAGTTGATTCCAGAGATGGTTATGATCAGTTCTTCCAAGATCTTGACCCAGTAGTTGGATCTGTTGAATTCTTGGTAATATAAAAATAAACAATATTATATTAGATTGTTAATAATAAAATAAAATATAATACACATAATACATGTAAAATAACCTCATTTATTTTGTTTGTAAGTTCAATTGCTTCTCATGCAGACCAGAAGGCTATCAAATCATAAAATATTAAACCATGATATGAAATAGTTTTGTCATAATGTTAAATTTAATAAATAAAATATTTAAAATCTTGTTGATGGGAAAACATTAATGTTTGCAAAAACAAACAAATAATGAAAATTATCAATATTAGATTAAATTTTTGATTTAAATACGTATTTCTAATCAACCTATTTATCATTCATAGTTTTTAATCTCTTATGCATGTGATGAAAATATAACTGATATAATGATTGGTTCATACTAAATCACAGTCTTACTAATACATGGCTTATACATTGAATACAACCAACAAGTACATATTGTTTATAATCAAATATTTCTAAATTAATGTTTTACCATTTAATTCAGAGCAAGCTTTTATACTCTCATCAGAGACCACAAGACAGATTATTTGTTCTATTGTACTGTATACAGGGTTAATAATGTACATCAATATCAAGACATCTATTGACCAAGACACTAGCAAAATAAAATTCAATGAATCTACTTGCTTCTATCAATCAATGATGAAAGTGGAAAAAATGTTTCTTTTATAATGTTTTAAAAAAAAATACTAAAACGTCAAATTAAGCTCAAACTAAATCTTTACTTTTTGAAGTATATTATCCATATGTATATCAAAATATCTGTCAGCAAACTTCATGACATTATTGAAAGTTTCTTTTAAGTTATACTAAGAATCAAGAAGATTTTAATTAAATTATACAAATCAGAAAACATAACCTCAACATGGATGGGTGCAAGGTGAGTTAAGTAAATTTCATGTTAAATAATACATTGAATAATTTTAATTTATCTTGAGATAAATCTTTATAAACAAAATCAAATAAATAAGATTTTGTGTGGGTATGTGAAACTATTATTTGTTTTATAAATCCTGTGACAGTAATGTTAACCCATACTACTCATTTTCTTGTTTGCCACAAGTAATTATAGAAGGCTTAGTGTATACTGTGTGCAAGTCATGAAAGAAGAAAACTATTAATAAACTATATGACCATTAAAATTTTTACCTTCCAGCTAGCTCTTTATCTAAATACTTTGCTGCTAATCGAGCTCCATAAAGTTCACTCTGTAAAGCCAAAATAAAATGATGCAATCTGTTGTTTTCTTTATTCAGTTGAGTGACTTCAGCTATTAACTGGCTTTCTTTCTTGACATCTGTTCTATACTGTTCCATTTCACTTTCCTAAAAAAATATTATGAAACACATGTAGCTTTGGAAAGTTAACATTTTCCTTACCTGAAAATGTATTTCTGATAGGTACTCACCTCTTCACACAGTTTACATTTCTTCCTTGTGTGTTTGCATATTCTGTCAAAGAGATTTGCAAGCCAACAGCCTTGTGAAAACTCCCACCTAATGTCATCATGCAGCAGAACCCTCCACCATCAGAAGTGCAACACACCTCCATACATAACTCCCCATAAATTTTGTGCTTGTGAATCCTCATTTTTTGATGAGGCAATGAAAAATGTGCACAAAAACGTGTGTGTGTGTGTTTTTGTGGGGAGAGGTATCTATCGGAAAAACATTTTCAGGTAAGGAAAAATGTTAACTTCCAAAACAAATACCTATGTACACAGTTTAGCTAGAATCCCACATTGAAATAGTGAAAGGACTGGTCTTCAGTGAGAGATGATATATCAAATAAGTTGCCAGAGGTTCAAAAAAGTCTTGGGTATGAGGGTGGAGAACCACATTCAGATTCTAGCCAGGCAAAGGAGTATGACAGGTGAAGAAAATATCCTGTAGTATTGAGAAAGGCAGAAGGTGGTAGATAATGTAACTCAATAACCTTCAATTGTAAAGACAGACAAGCCACAGTTGAACAGCCATATGAAAGTGGAGGTAATATGTTGCAAACTGGGTTGATCAGAGTGGAAAGAGTGACCGATAGACCAATGACGATAAGAATGCCATTGCTATTGGTACATTGAAAGGTGGAAGAATGACAAAAATGGGAGAACTGGAATTCTACATGATTAGAAAGTCTGGCTTCACATGTGATGGACTGGATAAATCCCACACTTGAACATGAAGGGATGTCTCTCCTTGATGGATGTGTGGAGTTGGATCAGAAAAGACAGTATGTTGGGAAGGGAGCTTTCACAAAAGAAGACAAAGTAATAGAAAACAAGGTTGGGCTGGCCACTAAGGAGTCATAAATAGGACCTTGCAAGAGGTATCCCAAATCAGAGCAAGGACCCAAGGGAGGAAGCAGAGAGGAGGATAGGAATACAGGATAAAATGGGACCAGTCCTGATTGAATGGATTGGGAACCAGAGGTGAGGTAAAAGGGACCATAAGAGTGGAACTTTGGCATTGAGAGGTGTGGGAAAGGCATCTATTTGAGTAGTTCCATGGAGGTTCAATGTTTAAAAGCAGAGGGTCCTGGAGTGGGTGCACACTAGTAGTTATCACATTAAATAACGAATTCATGTGGAGTAAAATTAAACTCAAGCCAAGAAGAATGGTAAAGTTGCAAATCTCAGCAAAACTGGACATTGAGGTGTTTCACACTTCTATTGGTGGTTGGTTCTGCTACATAATGATAGTATCATGCAATGGGAGTTTTCCCAAGGCTTGCACATCTTTTTGGCAGAGCATGTCGGAAAAAAAGCTAAATTGTGTGAGGAGATGAGTATTCATTTCAGAAATAGTAGGAAGGGAAATATATCATAATCTATTGATGAAACTGATAGTGCAACTTCACAAATAAAGAACGCACATGTAAAAATTAGAAACATTAAAAAAAATGTATTTTTTTTATTTGCAGTATATTACTTAAAACAATATTTTAAATAAAGACTATTTCTCTACTATAATGATTTCAAATAATAAAAATAATAACTATGTATTTCTAATATAAGGTTAAAGTTTCTTTATGCACCATACACACATACTTTCATGCAAACAAATAACCTTTACATCATTATTAATATTACACAAAACACAATTTTGGTAAATTCTCCAAAATTGGGAGGATAAATTTGTAACTTACTTTGACATGATTCCATAAAAGTTGGGATGGGTTATTATTTCTACAAAACAATAATACATAAAACTATTTATTATGATGAAAACAAACTCACAAGCTTTTGTTTAATAAGACTGGAGTCTCCTGCATAGCCCATCTGAGAGCTAACCTGCAGTTGTGCAGAATGAAGTTGGATCAGCAGTTTTTGGAGCTCTTTTTCTACAGCTGCATGTGAAGCTTGGGCTTCACAGAGCTCCTGTCGCATCTCAGACAGTTCCTCCTGTAAATGAAAATAAACCATTAACTTTGAACTTCATAATTCTTACATTTAATAAGTATCAGTAATAAAATATTTCCTTTCCAGATATACATATATATCAATATATATTAAAGCCAAATGTCGGTTGGTCACGCTTCATTTTTCTGAATTTCATGAGTTACACAAGTGCAATTCCACTTTTTCTCCTATAATACCTCCTCTTTTGACTGCCTGTCCCATTTTAGTGTAATTTAATTACAAGGAGGGAGTTCCCAGGACCAGATCAGGCATGGCATTATGTGTGTGACACCACATCATTATGACGTCAAACTAGGTAGGATCCAAATAAGAAAGCTAGGAAGACTTCTGGGAAAAAGAAGCCAAAAATTACTATTTTTCAAAATTTTCAGTGCTGACTGAAGGATAGAAACAATTATTTAATGAAGATGACAAACAACTTCAGTAAAAATGTTTAATTACTTGAACCTGACATTTCCAGCTTACGCCATTACCAAGGGTCTATGAACATCACAGGTTACCAAACGGATTTTAAATTACAGTAACTGAAAACAAAATACAGCTACAACAATATATCTGAAAAGTTTAAGTGATACCAGTAGAGTTGAATAGTTTTGAGTCGTAGCTCATAAAAATAGAGAAAATGATAATAATTACATAAAAATGGATAAATTCATAATAATAAAATTAATAATAATAAAATGTTAAAAGTGGTCAAGCACTGTACCTATTAATGGAAGGGCATCTGGATTGAATTCAAAGTGATTCCTTATATTTTCTGTTCAGAAAATTGTCACAAATTTCTAAGATTTTGATTGTATAAGGTTCCCATTGATTGTGCTGTGTTCTTTTAAGTAATAATCAGCAGTAGCTTCTTTATTATCAAGGTTTTCAGTGGCACGAACGTGTTCTTTGAAACGATCATGTATTGAACAACTGAATTCACCTATATATGTGGCCAAACACTGTGTACATGCAAGTTCATAGACAGTGTTTTTAAGAGTGCAGGACTTCTCTACGCCATTTGTCTTTGCAAAATACTTTGAGAATTTACATGTATTGTTGTTATTAAAGGCTGAACAAGTGAGTATATCCTTAAGTTTTCTACCAAGTTTTTGTATGATTTTGATATTCAAACCAGATCTTCTAACTGCTTGAAGAAAGTGAGTAGTTATAGGTTCATCCACGAAAGACATAATCCATGAAACAGTGTCTTGATGTGCCCCTTTATCATCTTATTATTATTAATTTTATCAATTTTTTATGTTATTATCATCATTTTTCTCTATTTGTATGATCAATGACTCAAAACTGTTCGACTGTACTTGTATCACATACGTTTTTCCGTTATATTGTTGTAGCTGTATTTTGTTTTCAGTTACTATACTTTAAAATCAGTTTAGTAACCTGTGACGTTCATACACCCTTGATAAAGGCATAAGCCAAAATGTCAGGTACAAGTTATTAAACATTTTTTTTGAATTGTTTGTCATCTTCATTAAATAAGCCAAAAATTAGTACAAGTCTATGCTTGGGAATTATTACAAAAAAACCTTTGTTAAAACAGATTGAACATATCAATTATCAGTTGGGAAGAGGACAGCTTTTCATTAGATCAAGAACAGGTGTGTGTGTGTGTGCAATCACATGATCATCATACGTTTTAATATTTTATCCAAAGGCACCAATATGTTGCATGTTTGCTCAGTTATATATTGTGGATTCAGGAGCAATATGTAGCATGTTCCTGGGAAAGAAAGCTTTATATTTCTTTTGTGTATTGCCAGTTTTATATGGAATAGTTTTAGTTTCCAGTAGTTTCCCATCACTTTTGACAGGCTTTTACACTAGTATGTACATATATAATTAGGTATTAATAGTTCTTTAGGCTTAGTTACAGCTAAAACACTCATATCTTCCAAACTGTGTTATTGTGACAAATTCAAATATTCAAGCCAGAAATTTTAATTAATTCTTGTACTTTACTACATTTCTTCAGCAGTTTAAATATGTATAAACAAATACATTTCATCCTAATTTCTGACCACTTCACTTTAATTCACAATATGGGTTAAAAAAATGACTGTTAAGACTTACATTTAACATTTAAGTATAATATAAGCAGTTATCTCACAATAATCTATACACATGTAGTTCTATCCATCCTTCTCACCTACTAAGCTTATGTTGATAAAATTCATGAGTTTTGATCAATGATTTCCTCAGATTTTGTTCTCTCTATATGTTGATCTTATAAAACTGGAAGTGTGTTAATCAATGATGATTTACATACTCGATTTCGATTTAGGCTGACCAACCTTGTAACACTTATTTCTCTGAAAAACTGTGTAGCCAGCGAAGATCAATAGCCAGGGCAACCAGACCAAATTCCTGGTAAATGAGAGCTCAAGTTGCATATGTGATATCATTCTAAACTACAGTAAGGATAAGAAAAAAAGAGAGGTAGCTTTTTGCTGCTGGCTATTTGCTTTCAGCCATTCAAAAATTTGATTCTACCAAACTATTACTTTGAGTTTTGGCAGAAAATGGATGCACAGGTTTTCAGTGGGGAGGAAGGGGACACTCTCTTTTTACTGATAACTTTTATACTTCCCCAACTCTGTTTGATAGGTTGCTTTCACTTGGCACTTATGCTTGTGGCACTTGTAGGAAGGACAGGACCCACTTCCCAGACATGTTTCCAAGTAAGATAAAAAGGGGAGAGTCACAGTTTTTCAACTGTGGATCAATGACTGCTATGAAGTGGACTTATAAAAAGAGATGTCCATGCTCTTTCTACAATGCATAATGCTACAGTAAAGGAAGTGACAAGAAGACAGGGTGACATGATTAGCAAGCCACAAGTAACCTTGGATTACAACAAGTATATGGGAGGGGTTGATCTTAATGATCAATTTCTTAGTTATTATTACCTTCCATGTAAAACTGTTAAATGGTATAAGAAGCTTTTTTTAGACTTGTTGACCTGTCTATTGTTAATTCTTTTATTCTTTTCAAACAGGTAACAAAATTTCAAGTACAACCAGAAAGACTTTCATCTACTTCATGAATCCTATAATTGAAAGTAGAAGAGAGCCTTCTTGTTTGTTAAGTATCCATTCAACAGTTCTGGCAGGTGCACAAGAACGGTTCTCACCTGGAAAGCATTTGCTAAAGAAAATTAGTGTTTATTAGAGTGAATTAGTGTTTTAAAACTCACTACACTTATTAACCATAAAAAAATGAAAATATTTCAACAAAAACTTTTTCAAGAGCACACAAATTACATTTTTTGTCTATATTGAACTGTATTTATTATACATTACTGTGCTCAGTTTATTACTTTTAAAATTTTCAATATTTCACTGAATAATATACAACTTGGATTATTCATCTTCAGTAAAAGTATTTAGCTTATTTTTGCATTTGTATAAACATGTATAGTCTTCAGTGTACATATTCATGAGTAGTGAACAAATGTACAGTTTGTATGTTCTTGATATGTAAACTGATGTGATTATAATATCTTAGTAGTTTTTACTACGTATTTATTTTTGCATCTAAGTAAGATTTGCATACAACTGTACATATACTTCTCAGTGCATAACTTATAACAGTTTAATATTGTTTATCCATACTTTGATGCTCTTTTTGTATGTATGTTATCTTGATTTGTAACTTTTGTATACTCTTTTATGTAATTTAACTTTATTTTTTCAAACCCTTTGCAAAATATCAGAATAAATGTTTTATATATCAGTTAGTCTGTTTTAATTATAAGAAAAAATATAAAATTATTACGATAAGCCTAAAACTATCAAAGTGGTACTAGTAATACATACAAATCACAAAGTCATCATTCTAAATACTAAATCATATTTTCATTATGAACTAAATATAAAATTACGGTAAATTATTGAATTTATAACTGTTAATTTAAATGTAAAAGAATACAAAAATCACAAGCTCCTCCAGTTCAAAGCACTAAGCCTAATCCACATAAAGACCATGCACTCGCCACTCGATAGATCTTAACCCTGACTTATGTAATATACATCTGACAAGGGTCGATATGAAATGAGAATGAAACAAGCGAAATGGAAGTGTTATTGAAATATACTTTAGTCCTGACAATGTATCAAAGTGATTTAACTGAGTGTGTTGTGTGTGTTATAAAGTACAGACTACCCTGGGAAAGAAGTGCTATTGTGGAATTGGAGGGATTCAGTGTAGCAGGTCTATACATCATAGAGCAAGTGACAGTGATGGTATACGCTTTGGGTGGTATAATACCTATTGATTCCGACCACCCTTCCGGAGAGACCTATTGGGTGACAAAGATCTTTGCCCACATCCATTAAGTTTCGACCTTTCTAAATGGACTATGCTGGCGACTTTCATGATTTAATAAAATTATGTAAAACATTGAGGCAGGAATATAACGAAATATACACCAAGGATATCAAGAAGGCAAAACTCCTGTCCTCTGTAATAGGGATATCCTGCATAAACGTAGAAGGATATGTTTGTCCTAAATATCGCAAGCTCCAGATGGAAGTAACCTGCTGTAAGTACCACCATATACCAGACAAATATTGCTGTGCTCTTTATGACTGGATGAGCAGTTGCTCTTCTATGTGCTAGGTTTTACATGGAGAAATATGAATTTTGTGTTATCTTTTCTATGTAGTAATAAAAACATAAATAACCAATGTTAACCACATATAATCAATATATTTTATCTATGTTAAGTATCACTTATATTTTATTCTGTACTTGATTTTTCATTAGTGGTTGTACAAATTTTGATATTATTTGAATATATATATAATCATGCATTATTTTCAATTGTGTCAATATATGTGTATATATATATATATATATATATATATATTACTTTATAGTTGGTTTAGGTTTTAACTTTTACTATTGTTAGTTTAGTTAAGTAAAAACTTAACGAAA